CTCTGTCCTCACGTCATTCACTTCTGTTGCCCACACCTTCTCTGGGTTCATGTCATAATGATGTGTGACTTTCTACTCAAAGCCCTTTTATGCACTCTAATTCTTTCCTATGCTGGTCTTGCATGTCCTGCATCATTTTATTTAGCTCTTCTATGTTTTTAATAGTGCCCTCTTTAGATACATTGATGATTTTGTTTAACAGGCCCAATATCTTCTTTCATCTTGCCAGTTGCCTTTTTGAACTGTTTTATTATCTCCACTAATACCATTCTCAATAATTCAAGTGTGGAGCTTTTGGTTTCCTTCCTTTCAATACCCCAAGCCAGTATTTTCTAACATCTGCATGAGTCATCTATGGGTATCATATCTTCTTTCAACTCTTAAAACTGAGTGCCCACCCTCCCCATTCCACACTGAAACCATAAGGCTTAGCTAGAAACTCAGATCCCTCTGCTGAGCTCACATTCATAAATGACATGTGGAATTCTCATACTCCCTCTGAGGTACTATAATTTTCCTGATTTTCTTCTTTACCATAGACTATTTGCCATTTCCCTGGCAAGGCTGCTATCTTGATTCCCACAAAATAGTATGTCTGTGAATCACCATTCAATTTTACCCACATGAAGGCTACCTTAGGGAACACCAGCTATATCACATTCCTACACTTTTCTCAACTGTTGCTCTGTATTTTCCTTTCTGTGGCTATCCATAGTGTTTAGTTAAAAAATACTGAAGTGTTTTTGTCTTTACTGGAGATGTACTTGGATTCCTTTTCCTGACATCCTACCTAACTTGTAAATTTTTCCACAGCAGCATGTGAGACACACTTTTCTGTACATCCTAGTCTCACAGAATGTTTATCATAGCATGAGAGGAGGAGCAAGTGCCCTATTAGTACTAAGACTTCTGCACACACATATCCTGACTTTTATCGAAAATGATATTTATCAAGAAATTTAATCTGGAATTTTAAAATATCATTTACAAAAAGTTTGGTGCAATATCTGAAGATTCCTCCACATCCTCATAGTATTTTCACATTGTGCATACAGAAAGAAGAAGGTTTATTTCTACCCTAATTATCGATTTTAATTCCAGGCTATTGTAAGTGCTTCCATGAGAAGGAACAGAATGAGCATGCCCTGGCATTCCCTTTGGCTTTTTTTCCCTGTTTGCCAAAGCAGTCAGGATACCTGTGAGCACACATAGGAAGGCATTTGTCAATTCCGTCTAGTCTGTCTGGAGAATATTCATGCAAATATAAAGAGAAGAAAGAAGTTCAATTTAAGACTCGAGAGCCTTCTTTGAGAAATTATGTTGCCCTCCCCAAGTTTGTGTCCATAGTTCTCTACAGGTAAATGTGTTCAGACACTATTACAGCTGTACTCCCCAATTCATGACTCAAAATTAAGCTGAGGCTGCTTAAGCTGTTATGTGCTCACACGATAATTTGATCAGAATCATTTAGCTCTTCTGCTTTCCAAATCCTTTCAGACCAGGGTCAGCAAATTTCAGCTGTGTGCGAAATTGGGCCTGCCACCCGTTTTGTTAAGTCTGTAAGATAAAAATAATTTTGAAAGAATAACACTAGCAATCAATTTGGTGATAGGAGAGATTAAACCACCTTTAAGAAGAAAAACTTCTCCCTTCCAAAGTAAATTTTAATTAGTCTCAGATTTGTTTTACAAAACCTTGAACTCAGTTATTTTGAATGCTATCAAAGTGTGTCCAGTTCTGTGGGTTATATAACTCTCTACATTACATTCTTGAGTTTGCCTCTCAGTCTTTAAAACCTAAAATAGTTAGCACTTAGCCTTGCACAAAAAAACTTTTCCAATCCCTGCTTCTATGGTGACATTGACAATGATTTCATATATGCATGGTATCTAAAATAATTAAATTCATAGAACAAAGAGTGAGACAGTGGCAGCTAGTGACCAGAGGGAGGGAAAACAGGAAGTTCCTGGGTAAGGAGCACAAAGCTGTAGTTATGCAGATGAATAAATTCTGGACATCTGGTGCAGAGTACTGTACAACAGCAGCAGTTTAATTAAGGTTGAGAACTCTAGGAGTGTCATATTACATTTTCTCCAAATTGAAGTATATGTATTATTTTATTTTTCTGCTGTATAATTCATATGAATTAAATGCAGCAAATGTTAACAGCTCTTTCCTCCTTTTTTAAATAAAACAGCTATTATTTTAAAATTAAAACTTATTGTAGCACTGATTGGTATAAAGTTTTCCGTATTTCACAAGCTCTATGTGGTAAACACAATTTCTCTCTGAAGAAAACAACAAAGCAGAGGATGGGGAAAGCAACCAGACACAGAGCTCCTACAGCACCATGAGTCTGTGCTTGGCCTGGCTCGGTCCTCGAAGGATGCCACCCCACCCCCTTGCTGTCTGCCTTCTCCTTCTCTCCATGCCCTGCAACTGTTTGTGTCTGTCCTGAGTCTGCAGTAATTCTTCACTGCCGTGCACTTTGCTCTCCACCTCTTCCCAGAAGCAGCACAGGCAACCGTGCTGGCTAAGTGAGTTTGACAGCGATGTCTCAATGCTGGTTTAAACTTTGCTACCCTGGCCTCATCTGAATCACAAGTCCAGCATGGGACTCTGCACAAAGGCAAAGACTCAAGCCAGAACTGTGGAGTTAAGAAGGTGCTGACATCGTGAGGTCTCACCTTCCTCCAAGTAGGCAACTTGGCAAAGACAGTATAAGGCAGGTTGGGTGCACAACTATTCCTATTCACTGTACCTTGCACTTAGGCGCTAACCCAAATGGGCTTTAAGACAAGGAGTCATTATCTATCCAGGTCACCCCCTATGCAGAATTATAGGCAATATAAATTGATCAATCAGGAAAGGCAATGCTTTAGCTACCAGTAAACCTACGTTCTCCATCGATCTCAGCCATTAACTCATGGTGTGACATTGTTGTCATTTCATATAACTGGCATTTCTTTGATATGCTTCCCATTGATGACCACTGAAGTTTCTTGCAACTGTCTTTCCAAGACCCTAGAGCTCTAAAGCCTACTCTATAGAGTAGTACAATCTAGAGAAGAATGCTATTTGAGTAGTGGCCCTAAACAAACACATTTTTTTTGATACCGGCCAGTCAGCTCATAATTTACTTATTCTCTTCAAAAGCTGGGATAGTTCTGCCAAAATGATGTCACTGAAACCTAGATATACCCCCAAAATGCTTGACAAATAATTATCACATTCCTGTGCTAGTTGGCTGTGATTTTACTGGTTGTTCAAAAACTTTAATAAAAGAATATGATTTAACCAATTGTTGCACAAATACATATTATTTTATGATTACTGGTCTCTGGTAGAGATCAAGGATGACACGATGACAGTGGCTCTATTGCCAAAGGTGGATCTTATCCAGGCCTGGACACAGTGTAACATAGCAAGTAAAAGGATGTAATATGAATAAGTGAAGAGAAACTAAAATAATACCTATAAGTGCTGGGATTTGTTGTCTACAAGCAAAACATAGAAGGCACAGAAATGTATTCCAAAAGTCAGAAAGGGAAAAAGCGGCACACCATTCTAGTTAAGCAACACAAATGCTTTTGAGAGAAACATAAAAATGAAAATAGGAGTAAAATGGATTTAAGAAAAGCGAAGAGGGTCAGAGATGGCCTGGTCTATGTTCTCAGTGGCCAGGTGGGGCCTGGTGTGGCCTGGTTATAACAGCAAAGACATCTGTGAGGTTTGCATTAATGAGAAGCTGACCACAGGACAAGAATTTATTACTGGATCTACAAGGTGCTAAGTGTTGTATGACACATTCTTCACAAGGCACACTATGGATGACGCTCCCCCTCAAAACAGAAAGTCTACTTTTAGGATTCTGGGTCTCACTGTTCCTAGGCCCCCTTTCATAACAAGCACAAATTGAACCAGATTTCTGTTCAGATATTGCTTCATCTACTATGCCAGTGCATGGGGAAATGCCTGTCCCAAAATGTTGTCTGTCCTTTATAAACATTTGAAATTGATCAACCAGAGGGCAAAAGCTTATTATTACCTAATAATTCACTCAGTGCCTCATGAAAAAGATAAATGTTTTGCTCATCTACTGGACTAATTTGACCATCTGAACTGTACAGTGAGTCTTCATCAAAGCATATCTTCTAAAGTAACTAATGACTTAGAAACACTGCATGTTCTGTAACTGCTCAGTATGTGTCCACTTCACCTACACTAATTACTTGTTAGGATCTGGCAAGACAATGGGCCTCAAAACCTAGCTGAATTCTTTACCTAGTCTATAAAACATGCAATATTGATGATGCTGCTAAACGCAAGCAATGTATTCTTAAGTGAGGTCAATATAACATTTTGATAGAGGTAATGGAATAGTTTGAAATGAAACTTCTGCTTAATAAATGGGTGTTTATAATTATCCATATTCCAGCAGGAATTTTAACATGTCTTGCAAAAATTCCTAAAATATAGCAAGAAAATAAAGAGGATGAAGAAGAAGGTGGGGGGAAGGGACGGGGAAGAGGTGGGGGGGACAACATTCAAGCTATAACTTGTACTTAAGTTTTTAAAGCTCATATCTGGGTATGTGAGAACTGAAGAGAAAGAAGAAATCACAACAGCTCCATGAAGTATCCCTTTGTCATTAAACCTAAAAAGAGAAGGCATCATGGTGAATCTGAAGAGAGGCAAATTCAATGCATGAAAGAGGTATTGGGGTCCTCTCCCACTCATTGTCTCATGTCACTGAGTCTGCATTAAAAATGAGGAAACTAATTATCATAGAAAAGAGCAACACTCCAAGACAAGCTATTTTCTGTGGAGTATAACAACAAATAACTTCAGGAAGTCACACAGACTGACAAAGCAGAATTAAAAGACCTTTTATAGGAAATCCCCCAATAACCCTACTAACAAATGAGACATCTCTATGTTACCACAACTTCAAGATATCCTTAGGATGAACCAGGCCCAAAGTGCTTAAGCTTTTTCACCTGCTATTTCAAGTGTTCAGCCGGGTATTTTGGACACCAGTGAAAACAAGATGAACTCTGGCTCTTCTGAACCATCAGAATCTGCTCAGCCTCGCTTAATGGTGGAGTTCACACAGTACATGTTAGATCTCTACAAAAGATGGAGAGATAACAAAGCTATGGGTAACCAATATTAATAGACTAAGACACTTTTCAGAATGATGGCTCTGCTGATCCTCACGTCATCGTAGAGGATCAACTATCAGGGTGCAGCCTGATAGGAGTTTACAACTGAGTCTCTTCCCCAGGAACTACCTGAGCCAAAGTCAGTGACCTGGTGCAGGCTTGTAGCCCCTCTTTTGGGCTAATACCCACCCAAGGCTGGCTGGCATATAGGCACAAAAGCCCACACTGCAAATCAAACATTTGTAAGGGGCTGGGTTAATTTCAGTTTCCAACACAACTAGCTATGCCCACTGCTGCAAATTCTCCTTCTGTGTCACTCACCTATGTGTCAGGAAATTGGTGTTTCTCAGGATGCTTACCAACAAGCCTCTTCTAGACAAGTCTCCAACTCCCAAGGGACATCACTTATGAGCTTATGTGGGGAAAAAGTAATGCCTGCCACATTACAATATTAGATAAATTAAACAAAAGTATATCTGAGTACAATATTTAAAGCTTTCTTTGTGAGTGGGGGTAAATGGGGTAGGAAGATACAAAATTCCAAGTGGAATAAATCTCACATCTATAAACAAATGATTATGGTTTTCACTCACACATTCTATACTATATGACTAATTCCCAAAAGGAACACATGTATAACAAGCACAAAAGTTGTTCAATTAAAAAGAAAAATGCAATGTAGTAATTAAAACTCTATTCAAATCAGACAAGAATCAATATTAATTCACTACAAGTCATGAAAGTAACTAGATGTTTCAGTCATTAAAATACTAAACCAAGGTTTGGGTAAAGGATTTCCCTCAGCCTGGGTTGTTTTAAAGTAAATATATCATCTACCTATGAAGGCTCTATGCCTGTTTCCTCTTAAGTTTGATTAGACTATAATCTCAGAAACAAGACCAAGTTTTTTGTTTGTTTGTTTGTTTTTTGTTTTTGAGACAGGCTGTCACTCTGCAATTCAGGCCAGCTGTGAACTCACTATGTAGCCCAGGCTGGCCTAGAACTTATGGCAATCCTGCCTCAGCCTCCTGAGCACTGGGATTACAGGTCTACTCCACTACACCCAGCCTAAAATCAAATTTGTGTGCAAAATTATAATAAAATATTGGGCATTATTATATTGAAACAGAAAATTTGATTCTACTTTTTCATACACCTATGGAGTTTTTAAAAATAATAATGTTAAGGGTTAATGGTAATAACAGATGATTCAAAAAAGAACTGAAAGCATTAACTCGAGGATTCATTTAAAGAAGAATAAACTGTAAAGTGATATATCCCTTCAATAGGTAGAAAGAAGGCAGAAACATCATATGAGCAAGTATTAAAAATAAGGAAAAAACTCATTACTTTTCAGTGAAGCAGAAGATCTTATTTATGTTGTTTATCTAAAATCTTAAGAGTCTAGCAAAATAAAATATTTGGCACATTTTTTAAAATATGTGAGATTTTTTAAAGAAATAATTGCTATTTCACTGTTGGTCCAACAGGTACTTTAGGTGAAAAATGCAGATAAATTCCTAAGAGATTTAAATTAACAAATGAAATAATCATGAATACGTTTCTCTGAAATTAGTGTCAGGAAAGACAATTAGGCCTTTTAACATCACACCACGTGGAGTCTCTTGGGTGAAATAATACCGGGTAACTCTTCAGAAAGCTTCTTACTGGGGTTAGAATACTCACCAGAGTCATTATAAAATTGCTGTTTCTTCACTTTTCAATGTCTACGATATACAGGTTCATGACACAAATTCCAATCAGTTCACTACCTAACAAACTGGGATTCTTCCTTTTATTATCAACACACTGTGTATCATTTTGTCACATTTGCCATTAGCACAAGCAAAACTCTGTGCTTTGGCCAGTGGATATGAACAGAGGTGAAAGGTGTAATTTTTGCACTCTGTTCTCAAGTGCAATCCATGTGACTTCTCTTGCTTTTTCTCTTTTCTTCCACTGGATGATAAATGTTATGGCTATAGTTTATTATGCGAAGACAATGAAACTAAAAAAAATGATAATAAAACTATTGAATCAGCATGGCTCTTTCTCTTGAGAGGCGTACAGCTGCTAACTGTCCTTCCTGTCCTGGGCTCTAGAATCTCACTCTGATGGTTAATCTTGATCACCAACTTGACTGGATTAAAAAGGCCCAGGAAATTAGTAAAAGCACAATTCTGTGTGTGTCTGTGAGGATGTTTCCAGAGGTAGCTAACATGTGAAACAGTAAACTGAGGGGGAGACGGGTCTTCAGTGTAGACAGCACCATCCTGTAGGATGGGAGCCAGGATGGAGCAAAAGTGAAAGGAGGATGGACTGACACCTCTGAGACTAGAAGATAAAATAAACCTTTTCTTTTTAAAGTTGCTTTTGTTTTTCTCAGAATGCTGACCAGCAAATTCTCTATGCCCTGCATACTGAACAGTTTGCAGCAAAGGCCAGGAGCTACTCCTTCCCTGCAAGTTTATGCAGGAGGACCTAGCGCGGATGCTTGGGCTCAGTCATAGGGTTATTCATCTGCAAACCGTCGAGTTTTGTTAGTAAATACATAGGTTCAATTAATAAAATAACATCAGCATCTAAAACAAGATAATAGCTTATTTCACAATTATATAATGATCCAGATAGATGCAGTTCGTGAAAAAATACTACTGCTCAGAGTCTGAGATTCTGGCTTCTTCTATCTTGCAGCTCAAACATCTATAATAGTTGATTTCCCTTTCACAGTTCATTACAGCTTCTCCAACTGCAACCATAACATTAATTATCTAGCCAAAGAAAGGGAAAAAAGCAAGTCACATGCATTGCACCTGAGAATAGAGTGTAAAAATTACACGTGTCCCCTCTGTTCATATCCACTGGCCAAAACATAGTTATCTTGATAAGCTATACTAGGAAGAGGATTGGAAATACATTCAGTCTTCTGGAAGGCCACGTGTCCAGAGCAGCTTTACAGACGGTGCAAACACTGGGAACAACTAGCATGTCCAGCACAGTAACCAGGAAGCCATCTAGTTTAGCCAGTTCTCTCTCTGCAGAGTGAACCAGCTCAGCAAGGGTCCCTCAGAAAAGATGCATGAATGGAGCCTTCACTGAAGCCCCAATAGCTGGCCTCCTTTCCACACAAAGATCTTCTCCAGGTCCCGCAGTTCTCATACTTTGGCTCTCACCGAGTCACTCTATCCCTCTGAAAACATCTATACTGAATACTTAAATTCACATTACTGAAGGACAGCATTGCCTGAAAAAGCTCCTTTGGACTTTATGAATGTAAATAACTTACATAAAGGGACATACTGAAAATTTAATGTGATTTCTCATGTATTAATCACTTGATATTCTGAGTGTTCTGTAAAAATTACCTCATTTAACCCTTAAGCTGATTATAATGTATGGATGGTTTTCACCCCTTTTCTAGATGGAAAAGTTTTGAAGTAAAAAGAGGACAAGGAACTTAACGTGGCTCATATACACCAAAAAGCTGAGAAGAGAGATCATACCACACAGCCCGACTGTGCGCTCTTCTGCTCAGGAGTGGCCCATTTGTCCCTGTATTGCCATCAATTTTCCTCCCACCCAAGGTAATTTATTTGACTTGCAAATGCATTGTAGAGACTCTCAGAACTTTAAAGACATGCAATTTGTTTACAGATCAGAAGTTGGAGGCAGAAAGATCACACAGAAAGCAGTAACAAAAAAAAAAATGTATTCAGTCTCTGGATTTTCAGAATAGAGTTCAGGTCCTTCATGCTGGCCTCTCTCTTTGCATAGGACAAAAGTGAAGGCAAGTTTCTCCTAGGAACACTATTCTACTACACACAAAGAGTTAACCAGAAATATTCTAGAACACGTCTTCTAAAAGACATCAATCACTAAACACTTTAGCTATTTTTTAAAAGAAAGACAACCTGTGAAATTATTTTTTCTAAAACCTGGTGATTTTGTAAGGAATTTGTTTACAGTAACAAAAGGTTATCATCTTTCCACTGAACTTTTCTTTTGTAGGACAAGGTCTCGCTATGCAGTTCAGGCTGACCTTGAACTCACTATGTAGCCCAGGCTGGTCTCAAACTCGCAACGATCCTCCTGCCTCAGCCTCTAGAGTGCTGAGATTACAGGTGTGCACCACAACTCTGGGCCCCATTTGAAACTTTTTTAAAGTAAAAGGTAAAGCTACATATTTTCTTTGGAACTGAAGGGTATGGGTTTCTCTGGGTTTCTGAAAGAGCAGAAGTAGAAGTCTGGGCACGGCTGTGGTGGGCTGTGGGTGGAGGGCGGCTGTGGTCTGATGCTGGTCAGAGTCACTCCCGCCTCAGTTGTAATAGTCTCATGTGTTTTCAAGGGCTGCAGAGTGAATCTTGTGCTGAAGTATAACTGTAATGAAGAACATGACAGGACATGCTTTGCAGTGAGGGAAAACAAGCTCTCCAGGCACATCCACAGGAAGCCATTCATGCTGAGCAAGCTCCTGTCCTCGGCTGCTCCCAGCCTGCGGCAGCACAGTCCTTCTATTTGGTACTGGGAATCGAACTCAGGACCTTGCGCTTGCCAGGCAGGCGTGGCACCGCTGAGCTATACCCCTGGCCCGGCGCAGCGGTTCTCAAGTACCTGTGGGCACAGATTTCTTTACAGGGAATTTCTACTCTGACTCAGGAAACCCCCAAGATGCATTTTCTTTGAGCTGTATTTACCCCATGAGATTCCTCCCAGCAACTGCTAACAACGGAAACTGCTCCTGGAGAAGACTCCTGCCCTGCAGGACTGGGAGATGCTGCAGGGAGTCAGCTTTTGCCTGGCCAGCCTGGGGCAGGCGCCCGGAGGCCGCACGTAAATGCCACCACGGGACAGAGACACTCGCTCTGGGGACTCCAGTCTCTTTGGTGGCAGAACCAGCACCCAGTCCACGGTGCCAAACATGCCCGTCTGTGAAGTGTTCACGTCCAGGGCAACACCATTCACAGT